GACATTCGTCTCAGGCCTGAGGGCCTTAGATGGTTGGTTTGTCCCAGAAGAACATGAGAGAGAATAGGGCCCTAGAGAAATTCAGCTGAGGCAGCAATCTTTGAAATGACAAGGAGGCGGGTAAATGTATGAATGAAATTGGATCTGAATCCTACACATACTGATTGATATGGCCACACAATCCTGTTGGGGCAGGGGGAGACCAAACAGAAGCACAACAGCATAAGATTTCTAAGTTTAAAAAACACCACACAAGAGGCCAATTCCTCTCCACTCACCTTAACATAAAAGTTTTTTCGAAAGACTTTACTAGTTACTTGCAAACAAACAATAAATCATCCATCCCACAAAGGTGAGCTGTTAGTGATGCTCATAGTCTTCCCAGAAATAGGAGAGCTTCTAAAAGGTGGATTCAGTGAATGAGCTGGATTCACCTTTGCTCTGCCTTGTAAATGTAGCTGCTGCTCCTCTTAGACATCCTGGCACCCGAGCTCCAGGTAGCAGTGGGCATTGTCTAACCTGTTGCCCTAGCATATAGCAGGCAACCAGTTAACATTTTTTGCACATTAAATAAATGTTTCTTCTGGTGCCGCTCTTTACACTAAAGACTAGTTGGCTCTTTAGTCAATGGCAGAGGCTTCATCTGCATCTGAACTGAGATCCACTAGGAGTGGTGCATTCTGGGAAATGGTCCCGTTGGCCAGGATCCTCTGTGTCCCCCCCCCAACTCCCCCCCCCCACCGGGGGATCGTAGAGCTGTCATCTCTGGCATTAGTGTGGAGAGAATCTCAGCCAGAACACTAGGCTGAGGGGATAAGGGCTTTCTTTAGCTTCATGCAGGACTACTGTTGGCAAAAAATCAGAAAAAGCAAAGAGGGGCTTGCACACCTCCATGGATTCTTAAACTGAGGACCTACAAAAGCATTTTCACCTGTTGTTTCCCAATAACACAATGATGGTGTTGGCAGGCAGCAAAAAAATGTCCTTGGACAGCAGTCCAGTTGGCTTCGAAAGGCTATCAAGGAGTCATTTAAAAAGCTCTTTGCACAGACATGTCCAGAATATTGACCAGAAGAGAAAAGAAGAAGCACTCACTGAGCAATTTTCTCTCACATGTTCGAACCTCCCCTCAGCTGTGTGTTTGGCAGGAGTCCCACAGAAATTGCTGCAGAAGCTATCAACATAGCTTTTATGTAGGCATCCTCCATTTTAGTAATCCCTAAGTTTCAATAAAAACGATCTCTTTCCACTTCCACAGATGGCAGGAAGACTAGACGGCAGAATACACTTTCTCCAGACGGCTATTGATTCTTTTTCAGTATGTGCCAAATATAGCGGGGATTCTTAATTATTTTTTAAATTATATATGACAGAAAAAATAATAGATGGAGTGCTTGGAAGATTGAACGCATTTTTGTTATTAAAATAAAAACATAAACTTGCAATTTTGAGAAGTTTAAATCCTGAAAGGGGCTCTTCTTACAATTCTTTTTATTCCCAAGTGACCCATTAATTCATTTCTTCATTAAAAAAATTATTGAGCATGAAGTAAGTGCCAGGCACTTGGATAACAGGGATTTAGGATACCGAGGGCAAGGGGTAGGGAGTAGATTTCATTTATTTCTTTTCCTTCCACATAAAATTTATACCCCGAGGATATCTTCAGGAAGCTGCCATTCTTGAATGCAAACTGGGGAATTATGAGAAATGCAATTGATAAGTTCTCTTTACACATGGTCAGTCTTTCCATTCCCCTTCCCTCACTCTAACTTGCTAGATGTATTCCATTTTTCTTCCAGATGCAAGGAAATAATCTCGGTCTGTCTTGTCTGTGACAATTGATTACTTGTCTTGCTTTGAATCTGCTTCTCTGAGATGGGCATTTAGTTGGGTCCAGCCCTCAAGGAACTCAAGGTTTATCTTCATGGTAAACTCCACAAAGGAACACAATGTATTGCCTTCAAAATATCTTATGCAGGCTCAGCTTTCTATTTCGAAATTGTCTTTAATCAAATGTTTAATCACCTCTTCTAAATCATTAATAAAATATTATTATTAGATGGTGAGGACGTTTTCATTGCTTATTTATCATTTACAACATCCCCCCCCCAGCTTTCAAAGCGATTTGAGGCTGCTTAAAATAGAAACCCTAAATGTCATATGGTGTTTCAAATAGAAAAACATGAATAGGTAGGGGAATTTTTATTATAGTCTCTGTTATTCCTTTCTTAGAAGTCACGTAAAAAATTCTGCACTGCTAAGGCACAGCAAGCTTTCATTCTACATTCGAGTTTCCTTCTTAAAGTCCTATTTTCTTACCTTGTGTTGAAATTACCTGCACACCAACATTAACTGAGGGCTTAACGTGGGCCGGGAAGTCTCCGGTATTTCATAACATTAGCTTGTGCAGCTCCTGAAACACATCCATATTACATGAACTTTATTTTAAATGTGAGAAAACTAAATTTGTAGATTAAGTAGCTTTCTTGAAATCTAGTGAGTGGCAGAAACAATGTCAACCCAGGCAGGTCTGATGGCATCCAGAGTACTTCATCACTAGTGAATACTTATGAATAATGAATGGGTCATATGCCGTTAGTGGATCGTGAGATCAATTTAGTGGATTGTGATCCCGTTCCGAGGGAATAAGATAGAATAGCAATGATCAGAGTACATCCCACATAGTAAAAGGCAAGTTATAATTCAAGAAATTTGGTTTTCAGTGTGTGCCTGTTTGTATGCTGAATTGTGATACAAGATATATGTCTGTGAGTTACTATCACAAAAAATTTCAAGGCTGCTACACTAGGATATACTGACTCTCACTCATTCATATTCCAAACACAGGGGGACAACTAGTTTTTTATAAACCTGCCCTCTACAGAAATCTTTACAAGAAAGAAGAGATTTAAAAATCCATGACTCAGTATGCCTCTCCCTGTGTGAATAGGCTTAACAAGCCAACTCCCAGAGCCATGCAGCAGAGTTTTCCTAAAATCGCCAGCCTTCACTGGTCTTACGCCAAGTTGCTAATAGTAAATCATTCATCTACCACTGCAACAATAGCAAAGAAAAATATTTTTTGCTTTGCTAAGAGCAAACATCCAATGGATAGAAAAGCATCCAAAGGCCGCCCTCCCCATCTACAGAAGGTGTAGCAGACACAACAGCAGCAGCTTCTGGGGTCGAGTGTGTGTTGCCATGTCCAGTCGTCTCCAAGACAGGGCCAGGCTCTTAGCCGTTTTTTTTTTTTTTTTTTTTTTTTTTTTTTTTTTTTTTTAGTAGTGTTGTATTTATTAAAGGGAAGGGAAAATTAGACAAAGTGAATATAGACAATACAAAATATAATGTGTTTTCTAAGGTGTTAAACTATTTTTCTATGAACTTCCTACCTATAAAAGATGTTTTATTTCTCATATCCTCCCTCCCCATACACGTATTTGAATCATCCCCTGACCCCAGAGGACCACTGTTAACTACTGTGTTATGAAGATACCAGTTGAATCGGGAACCTGAATTTCAAGGGGGGCATAAGTCCTCTGTGAGGACGGATGCAAAACATAAGAGAAGGAAACATAAGGGAAGACAACAGCTGAATAGTGGCTAGGTTGAATGAGAAAATGAAGAAAGGAATATAATTAACTTTGACAAAATTACTCTGTGGGTAAAATGATCAAAAACATTCTAGAAATTTAGATGTAAGAGACATCTGTCAATTTTGAAAGAGTACTTTCCAGAAAACAAGAGATGTTCTTCATAAATACTCTAGCACAATTGTAGAAGTCATGTATTGTTTTAAAGGTAGCAGTGGAAGCCTGGGTATTGATGGGTTAAGCGTCCGACTGTGAGTCAGATCTCATGGTCGGTTGAGCCCAGCTCTGGGCTGATGGCTGGGAGCCTGGAGCCTGTTCGATTCTGTCTCCCTCTCTCTGCCCTTCCCCTGTTCATGCTCTGTCTCTCTCTGTCCCAAAAGTTGAAAAAAAAAATAAATAAATAAAGGAGTGCCAGTCAAAACTTCACAGAAATTGACTGGGGGAGACTATACATTCAGGCATGACCACAGTTCATTATCACTAATTGAAGGGAGTAGGCGGTGTTGGAATGGTGCTCCTAACCATGCCACTGATGTTTGGCATCATGGCCAGGATTTTCCTTGGGTTGGAGGTATGATGCATTTTAATATAGCAGAGGGATAGAGAACAAACCTTCTGTGACTTTCCAGATGGATGTCTGCATTTAACTTCCTTATCTCTGAAACATAAAGGAAAATATCACCCATACATAGATTGGTTGAATGAATACCTGAGATAAACCACTTGTGCAAATGGCCTGGGACACAGTAAGCTCAATGAGGGTTAGATATTATTACTTACTATTTATCCCTCCTAATTCAAATGTGGTTCCCAATTTCTAATTCACACTTAAAACTGTCCTTTTGCATAAATATATATTATGTCACTTCAAATCCTCCTCAGAAAGGATTCATAAGTAAATAAATCCACCTGTTTAATTCTGTTAGCTCATGGCTTTACCTTTCTGTTTCCAAGAGTGGACAACTCTTTGCTTCCATACAAAAGTAGGATGATTGCTTTGGTTTTGCTTACTATTGCCTTCCTGAAATTAGTTCAAAAATGAACCTTGATTCTTGGTATAGCTGATGTTCGATATGACAATGATTGTTTAGAATGTTATAATTAAGAATATTATTCAAAGATATTGCACACTATG